TTGCCCGAGTGGCTTGTGAGGAGTTTTGACTAAGTAAGGCCGAGGGCCTATGTTGTAAGGAAACACTGATTATGATTATGAGGCCGAGGTCCTGAGATATATACCCCCACGAGATGATTTGATATTGCGCTTGGGCCATAAGGGGCCCCTCCAGGAGTCTGCACACCCCCAGTGAGCGCGGGTACCCACTGTGATTGTGAGATATAGCCCGAGGGGCTAGTATTGTTCTGAGATATTGCCCGAGGGGCGGATTTGTTGACATTGTGCCCGAGGGGCGAACCTTTATGTGTTGATCTTTCTTACTGCCTGTCATTTACCTGCTTAAATGTTAAAAAGGGCTTTTATGAAGTTTAAACTGTACTTAAATGATTTTTTACATATCTTAACTGATTCACTGTTTTACTGGCTTTTACTGCTTCATTATAACCTGTAATGTGCTTTCCGTGATTTCTTGCTTTCAATCTTTATTTATGATTATTACTCACTGAGTTGGAGTACTCCCTTTATCCTGCACCCCGTGTGTAGATTCAGGCGTTGTTGATCCTGCTAGTGCGAGTTGAGAGCTCCCGACAGACTTTGGAGTTCACGAGGTAGCTGTTTTGGCGTCCACAGTCCCGTGTTTCTCCCCCTTTATCTCATTTCTATCTCTTTTTCAGTTACTTTGTAATAGTTTATAGACTTTTCAGACTTGTGTTGGGATTGATAGATGCTCATGACTAGTAACACCCCGGTGTCAGGATGTGTTGGGTTGTATTCCGCAAATTGTTCTGTATTGTCACTGCTTACTTTCAGATTTTTATCATGTTTAAGACTAAATGCTTATCTCTTAATTGCTTAAAAACGAAATGGAAATGTGTCGGCTAGCCTTGTCTTCACGAGAGGTGTCATCACGATCGGGTCCGGGGTTGGGGTTGTGACACAATTGTGCCAATTACTTAACCTTTTTCATATATTTTTAATCCTTTAACAATGGTGAACAAACATCACATAAACAACGGAATTAAATAAGCGGAAGAAAATGAAATGTAACAGTTTAATATTAATACCGATACAACTCCATAAACCAAAAACTACCTAGATCTGGTGTCACAACTTCATAGACTGTCTAAGAATACTACAAATAAGGGTCCGAAAGATAAATACAAGTTGTTTTAGAAATACATAGAAGAAACAATATAGAAAGATAGAAGGAGACGCCGAGGCCTACAGATGCCTGTAGAACTACCTCGGGTCACCTGAATGGACTGAAGACAGCACCCTCACTGCGGTCCAAAAGCTGTTGCACCGGGATCTGCACACAATACAGAGTGTAGTATCAGCACAACCGACCCTATGTGCTGGTAAGTGTCTAGCCTAACATCGGCAAAGTAGTGACGAGGCTAGGACAAGACTACCAAATAAACCTATGCAGTTAAATCAAATACAGCGGAAAATAAAGGCAGAAATGTACAGTTAAGGATAGGAGGGGGAACATGTTGCGGGGAACATCAAGTAATAACAGAAGAACAACAGATAAATATAAGGAACACCAAAGTTCAATTATCAACAAGAATAAGAAATAAAAGACAAGTGCATGGCATCACCCTTCGTGCTTTTACTCTCATCCTCACCATAAAATCAATAAAATCGGCACGACATCACCCTTCGTGCTTTTACTCTCATCCTCACCATAAAATCAATAAAATCGGCACGACATCACCCTTCGTGCTTTTACCTCACATAATCATGGCACTGAATGATCCTTCGTGCATTATCACACATATCATGGCACAATACATCATGCGGCACGGCATCACCCTTCGTGCTTTTACCTCACAATATCGGCACGACATCACCCTTCGTGCATTAACACTCTCAAAGAAAACATACACGGCATATCAAGTCCGTTTCTTACCAAATTTTATAGTCTCAACTTAAATCCCATATAAGACCTGTACCGGGCTCCGAAACAAAAATACGGGCACGGTACCATCAAATTCAAACATATTTAAATTTCTGAAAACTCTTATAATTTCAGTTAAATAATTTTCTTCAAAATTTTATTTCGCGGGCTTGGGACCTCGGAATTCATTTTCGGGCATACGCCCAAGTCCCATATTTTTCTACGGATCCTCCGAGACCGTCAAATTATAGGCCCAGATTCGTTTACCCAAAATGTTGACCAAAGTCAACTTAAATTCATTTTAAAAGCAAAATTTATTATTTTTTCACAGATTTTCACATAATGGCATTCTGTATACACGTTCGGACTGCGTACACAAATCGAGGTGAGATAAAAAGAGATTTTTAAGGCCTCGAAATACAAAATCGACTTGTAAAAGAAGTGAACAATTTTCAAAAAGAAAAAAAGGATTCTAAATGGAATCCAGTCTTCACCTAATTATCATACTAGTCTTTTCTTACAAGATTTAGAATAAATTTGCAACTTGAGTACAATAATATTCTAAAAAATGGAACATAATTTCTAGAAACTTTGATCTAGAATTAATTGGCTCAACGAAGGTGATGCCAATACCAAGTATTACTATATTATGGTTTCTAATCATAAACGTCGTAATTCCATTATGTACTTCACTAATGATAATGGAGACTGGATTTGTGAACCTAAACAAATTCTAGACCATACTTTTTCCTTCTTTATGGAGGCCTTTAAGACATCCCAAACTTCCTCTCCTAAAAACATTATCATAAGTGATCCCTCGTGCCATAATAAGGTTGACCTGAGTAGCCTTGATAAACCTTTATCTAATATGGAAATCACTAAGGCCATATTTTCTTTTAAGCCTTTTAAGGCTCTAGGCCCGGATGATATTCATCATTTTTTTACCAGAAGTATTGACACTTCATAGGTGACTCTATTACAAACTACTGTCACAAGGTATTCAAAACTCAATCCCTCATAATGGCACCAATTATACCTTTATTTGTCTCATATTCTAAATTTCCTAATGCAAACAACCTTAAAAACTTTAGACCTATTGGTCTTTGTAACACTTCTTATAAAATTATTACTAAAATTATTGCTAATAGGATAAAATCTTTCCTCCCTTACCTTAATAGTCCCATGCAATCCAGTTTTATTAAGAGCATAAGAGCCTGTGATAATGCCTTTATTATTCAAGAAATTATGAATAACCTTCGTAGATCAAAAAGATTCAACTTTGATATGATAATCAAATTAGATTTGGAGAAGCTTTTGATAGACTAGAATGGTCTTTTATGTATAGGACCCTTAGATACTTCAAGTTTCCTCTGAATTTGTCTGTCTAATTATGCATTGTATAAGTACAGGCTCTATAGAGATCCTAGTGAATGGTTCTAGAATAAATTTTTTTAAACCTAGTTGGGGTATTCGTCAAGGAGATCCTATATCCCCCTATATATTCATACTTTGCCTTGAACTCCTATCTAGACTAATAAATCACCAAGTGGACCTATTAAGATGGGATCCCATTAACATTAGGCAAAAAGGACATTCTTTCTCCCACATACTTTTTACTGATGATATAACCCTAATGGGGAAAGCAAACAAAAAAATGGGGCACTGCATAAAATCTTGCATGGACCTTTTTTGTGATGAATCCGGGCTATCCATAAACACTTCCAAATCAAGAATTGTCTTACCCAAAAATTTTCCTAATGATATCATCTTATATCTCACAAATGTTTTTGGCATAAAGTCCACCTATGAGTTTGGTAAATACCTTGATTTTCCAATCCTAAATCACTCTCCCACTACCAAAGACTTCCAATTTTTCATAGATAAAATGCAAACCAAGTTGTCTCACTGGAAATGCTCCTTCCTAATTATGGCTGGAAGGACTACTCTAGTTTCTAGTACATTAAGTGCCATTCCTACTCATTCTATGCAATATACCCTGCTCCCCCCAAAAATCCTAAAGAAAATAGATAAAATCCAAAGGAATTTTATCTGGGGATCTATAGCTTGGCAAAAAAACTGCACCTCATTAACTGGCAAAAGGTGACTAGTGATAAGAATGAGGGTGGGCTAGGTATTCACTAAACCTAAAAATATGGTTTTATTGTCCAGTCTTGCATGGAGACTACTGAGAAACCCTAACACTCCTTGGGGTCAACTAATTACGACCAAATATGCAAAGAATAAAGGTGTAACTTCCACCTCCTTCATCTGGAAACCTATCCTTAAGGGATGGAAATTGTGTAACTTTGGCATCCGACTACTAACTCTAAGATTAGTATCTGGTATACCAATTGGATTTATAACTCTAAATCCCTTAGAAGCTCTATAGAAGGCCCTCTAAGTAAGAATGACCTTAATCTTTCGATAGGAAACCTCATAAAAAAAGTGAATAGAATATTAAGGATATTTCCTTTGCATTGCCCACTGATATCCTTAATAATTTGACTCTTACCCCTATCCCTAGTAAGGATCAAACATTGATAGAATTAGCTGGAGCCTCAACTCAAATGGTCTATTTACCATTAAATCCTGCTACAACCTCCTATCAAATGTCAATCCTTCTACCACCTCCAACGGATTTGGAACTTCCATTTCCCCAATAAAATAAAGTTCTTCCTTTGGCAATGCGTGCATAATTATATCCCTTGCCGTGCCTATCTAGCTAAAATATGAATCAATACTGATGCAACATGTACTATTTGCAAACTTGGGGTAGAGGATATCCAACATATTTTTATTAAATGTCCAGTCTCAAATTGCTTTTGGGAGAATATGGGCCTTCCATTTCGTAATATAAATAGTGACACTGATTGGCTAGTGAAGCTGAGGAATATCTTCATGCAATGTAGTAATCACCAGGTTAATTGGGATACTTTATTTCCCTTCTCCATCTGGGAAATATGAAAAAGCAGGAATCATAATAATATCAACAATATAGATCGTAACCTAGAAGCCAGAAAGATTATTCATCTAGCATGGGAATTCAAATTCTTTACGGAGAAAAATACCTTCACGCTTGAAAAACCAAAAAATCAAATGGGATAAACCACCCAAAGGTATGATCAAATTAAATTGTGATGGTGCCTTTTCTAGTAACATTAATGCAACTGGGTTTGGTGGTACATTCCGAAATAGCAATGGAGACTGGATTGTGGGATTCCACAAGGCAAGTCAAGCAATTTCACCTACACATGCAGAGTTGATGGCATTACTAGAAGGTTTAAAAATTGCGAAAGAAATGAACTTCCAAAATATGGAACTTGAAACAGATTGTACGGAAGTCATCAAGCTTATATATGAGGATAACTATTACTTCTCTAACATTGTTTCTGAATGCAGATGGTTAATGCACCAACTGAAGCTTCCCCAACTGAAGCATAATTTCAGGGAAGGAAACAAAGTGGCACATAGGCTGGCCAAAGAAGCTATCAAGAGCTCATCCTCTACTGTTTTTACCTTGCTTGTCCACCCTTTTTTGTTGAACATGAAGTGATCAAGAACAAGTATGATGTTTGTAATAGCTTTAAGGATATTTCTACTATTGTTTGTAACTATTTAGCAATTATGGGCAACAGTAATGCCCTAAAAATATCTACTATGTCTATGTAACTTTTGTTTAAGTAATATAATCATCCGTGTTTGTGTTAAAAAAGAATAGTGAAAGCGGACCAAAGACGGGACCTATGTGGGAACTAAAGGGGGAGAAATTCAAGAATAGCCAGATTTGGAACTAGTCGTTCAAAAATAGCTCAGTTTCAAAAGTAATCGAAATTTAGTCACTTTTCATGTAAAGATAAATCTGAGCGAAAACATTGTTCAAAACCCGGAAAACACGCCAGTATATTATACTGGAGTTCCAGCATAAGTATGCTTGGACTCCAACATATTATACTGGAGTTCCAGGATAAGTATGCTAGAACTCCAGCATAAGTATTCTTGAACTCCAGCATATTATACTGGAGTTCCAGGATAAGTACACTAGAACTCCAGCATAATATACTGGAGTTTGGAGCACCGGTGCTCTAGTCTCCAGTATATTATACTGGAGTCAGTAAAGTATACCGGTGGAGTTCATACACAGGTGCACCGAACTCCAGTATATTATGCTGGACCGGTCTCTGTTGCAGCAAAAAAGTAGCTATTTTTCATTGACTTTATAAACGTTGGCTATTTCTGAATGACCAGTCCAAAAACTAGCTATACCCTGCTATTTTTACAACTAATGAAGAGGAGACGGAAGGCGTCACGATTTTGAGAAACTTGGCCAACCCAATTAGAGGTTGACTTTACAAGGCAAAGACATTTCAAGAGTGCGAAATTATTTTCTTGTTTATTGTGTTGGCTGGTCCTCTGGAAATTAGGCAGAGCTGGCTCCGATTGAATTAGCTTCAGCTGAGAAGCAATTGGAGCTGGCGTTCGACGACGGCATAATTAGGGATGGGGCGGAGGAGGAGAGCATCTTGCTCTTGGCCGGACGGGAGAATGAGATAGTTGAAATGGGAAACGATAACCCTTCTCGGAAAGAAAATGTGGACGATCAATACCCTGTTCATACCGCCCACCAAGTCAGCAACGGTCTCTTACGCTTTTCCAATTTTCAATTTCATTTACTTGAAGTCCTTATTCTGCTTTCTTATATTGTCGAATAATTGTTACTATTTGAATTGATGACAGAAAATTCCATTGACCCATTGTTTTTCGGCTGGCCCATTTGAATCTTTAAATTCCTTGACTTCTCACCTCAATAAACTCTTCATCCTTTTGGTGTTGGATACATTGTTTTATTTGATCCTTTTAAATGAACTTTTCCCTTTCCTTTTAATGTGGGTACTCTATCTATGAGAATTTAATTTGTTCCATACCTACAGTATTTGATTAAATTCCTCTTTCATTCAATTGTGACAAGTGATCAGAAATGATTAACTTTTCCATTCTGTTCATTGAAAAGTTAAGAAGAAGTCATTTCCTTGATCTGTTGTACTTTAGTAGATAAAGTAACCTGTCTTTTGCTGCAATTGTATCATTGATATCATTGCTGTTAACTCGTTGTAGTTTTGGTGCATCATGGTGTTAACAT